GAAGAAGCTGATAAAGTTCAAATATTGCCAGAAGGTTATATTACCCCCCCCCCCCAACCAGAAAATGATGGCGAAAATACCGACTGCGACTCAGGGGATGAGGAAGATAACGATCCAAACCGAGTTTGTGTATAGCAAAGAGAATAGGCGCACTTTATTAAATATGGAGGACAATATACAATCAATCATAGTCAGTTACTAAAAGCATCAACCTCCTAAAAAAAGAGTAAACCCGAAATGAAATTTCAATGGGAGAAGGGTGATTTGAATAGGGCTAATGTCTCTCGCAGTGGTACTCTGGTACCGCCATTAACATTATCTAAAGATGGTCATGAAAGATAATGAAAAAGGAACAAAACTGGAATTAAGGACAAAGGTATCGTAAGAATAAAATGGAAGGACAACAATGTTGTCGGTGTTGTGACGCGACCGTCAAAAATGTCAAACTGTCAGTGACTAAAATCGACCGCAAAGTTTCGATCGCTCCCAAACTCGTGGCCAAAGTATAAGAACTTTCAAAGTGTCTCCTCACGAAAGTTTGTCCACATTTGATCGGTACACAATTTTAGAAAAACGAAATTTACGTTGAAATGTAACAATGAACAATTATTTTATATCCCGGTTATAATAAACTTCTCCTTTTATACAGGGTGTCCAAAAATGTATTCTAATTGATTGAACACTTGTAACTTGAAATGTAACTATATATCACAGTTATAATAAACTTCCCCTTCTTTTATACAGAGTGTCCAAAAATGTATTCTAATTGAATAAAAACTTGTAGGCGATAGAAAATTATATTGTTAATATTCTAGCAATATAATGTCGCATTTGTTTGTCCCGTAGATTTCTAATGGTTTGGGTTGTGGTCGCTCTATCATCGCTAGACGAGTCAAGCTAAGTAGCATCTATGTTAAAGTCTGTTCATAGATATAAGAATGTGACTAACTGATACGAATTAAGGAAAGACCCGGGCAAGCTGTAAGATTGAAATATGGCTGAGCAGGTCTGTACTTTGCTTAGAATTTAATTATTTGGGCTTTTGTTATTTAATTTATTTAAGTTTAAATCAAAAATAAAATTACAAATTATTTTTATTACTTACTTAAATTACTTAAAATTATTCACATAATATATCATTATCACTATCGCTATCATCGCCTTGCCTTTTGTCATTTTTTTAAAATCTAAAACCCATGTGTTGAATACACTTTCATAAGGTAGTTCTGCCACATTTAACGCCGGTTTCAACTTTTTGAAGCCTCCTAATTAAGATATCTAATGTATTTATTCACTTTTTTTATTGGTATATTATTTTGCAACAAAATACAAAGGTACTAATGCAAGGTACCGTGTGGAGCAGAACTGTCACCACCCTACCCCTCTCTTACTTCCAGCGTTTAACGTTACAAAAAAAGGAAAGCGGTATTAAAATTAAATGACATTCGTGTGGGAGCAGTACATGAAACGTTACTCGAAAAGGTGAAAACCAAAGCGGCCATTTTGCTTGGGGCCGTACACGGTTTTAATTTTAACGAAAACAATAACTCATTGAAAAGCGGTTTCGCAGTGTTTCAGGGAATTTTCGGTTATTTTGCTTTCCTGTAGTGCTATTTAAAATAGGAAAAAAATCAAATTTTCGGTATAAAAAATGAATACTTGCATTTTAACCGATCTTTGCTTGTTTAATTATCGATTTTTTTCTCATTGCTTTCATAAAAGCGTTTATTATTACAAAATTGGAAAGAAAGTAGTATTGTCATTTTTTTTCATTTGTTTTGTTATTAATTGTTAAAAACAAATTATAGGAGATTTAAATAAAAAACTTATTCTCTTGAAAATCATCTGCAAAGAAGAGACGTACCTATTTTGAATGAAGAAACGAATTTATAATTAATATATAAATTTATTTTACTTTAATTTTTTTTATTTTATTTTACTTTAATTATTTTATTTTAATTTTGGAAATGAAAATTCTGTCAGACTTAGACAGGAATCTAAAGAGTTTTGCATGCTACAAGAGACATTTCCCTAGAACTTACAGAACAACAAAATGATATCGCACAGGATTGTAATATCGAGACTAAAAAAAAAAAACTTTACAATCTGAATTGCTGACTTTTTTTCAGGAATTTTTATAAACATTGACAGAAAAGAAGAAGAAGAAGAAATATTACGTTCAAGTTTCCAAAAGCTCTTTTTTTTCGAATGAAATAATGCTTTCAACAAAAATCATCTATTTAAATACACACTTAAATTATTATTTTATTTATTTATTATCTTAAAATTTCCAGGTTTATAGAATTTTTCAAATTGAAAACACCAAAACCCACTGACATCAAAAACTGAAACTACTACAAAAGTAAAGACGGAAATTTTGACTCAGGATCACGGTGGTGGTCAACAGCGCTCCTAAGCCACCATAAAATGACAACTGTATCTACCGGTGTACTTATTAAAGCTTTTTCGTCTGTCCGAGAGTCGACGCGAAATAAAACACGAAAGGTGGACACGCGGTTGCCTCATATTTATGCACAGAGAATAAAAATCAGCGCGGGCTGAGTCGTGAGGCATAGGTACGGATATTCTGGGAATACCGTGACGCGGCAAAAAACCGCGTTTTCGTCCCGACGAAATCCGCTTTCCGGTTTTCCTATCGTCCGCGATAGTAGGTCGTGATTAACGCGTGTGGAACGTATCGTCTTTTAAAAATCACCGGTAGCCATGATCCGCACGCGAAGGCGTCGGCCGTCAGATGGCGCCACGAACATCTAAAGTGTAAAAGAGCACAGGCCGCATCAATGCAGATGTGAAATTCGATATTTTAGGGAGAGGACCGGCAAAAAACAAGGCAGTTAATGCAAAAATCCAAGAAATTCTAAATGAAATACATTTATATTTAAAAACGAATAAGATAAAATACGTTTAAATCGTCAAATTGAGATTTTATTTCTGCATTTGCGAATGTAATATTCTTTCTTAAAAAAAAATATGGATATTTGAGGAGCAGTTTCTTAGAGAGTGTTTGTTTAAATCGCATTTAACATAATTTAGTTAGTTAATCATTTAATAACAATAAAAACAATAATTTAAACAAACAAACAAAACATACAATATAATCTTTTATTTGCCTGTTGACCGTTCTTTCAGCACAGCATTGCAAAAATTATTGCTAGATAAATTTGAAGTTAATGTGAGCGTCGCAGCAGGTGGAAAATAAAAAATACATTATTTCATTGACTCCTATTGCATTATGCATGTTCTAATAAACAACACGTAAATAAGAGAACAGAAAAAGTACAATATAAATGAAAAGCAAAAAGAATTGGAAGGAATAATGCGGAATATAATAAGCCATATTATTATTGAACTTGATGAAAATCCATTTAACACAATTAAATTAGAACAAAAAAATTCTCTGATTTTCAGAGTTATTTAATACTTTACCGCAGCTGTTTGGACAACACCCTGCTTTTAGCAAATACAAAATATGACAATATAACGACATCTATATACCTATACAATCAGGTAGTAATAGATTCTTAATTACAGGCGTAGGGTTATAAATTTAAATGTTTTTAAAATTATTTTGTATTTTATAAAGGCACGGTGTTGTCGAAACAGCTGTGATAATAGTATATTAAGCAACAAGTGCGGTAAACGGCATTTGAATCACAAGTTTATTTGACACGAGCGGAGCGAGTGTTTAATAAAACAGTGACTTACAAAGTTTACCGAACGTGTTGCATATATACTTTTTCTACGACTTTTTCACTGACATGACCGTCAGGATTGACAAACGTCACAATTGAAGGCGTGGAAAATATCTCCGAAAACATCCGATTGCTCCCAAACCGGTGCGGTAAAATCCCGGAAATGTCCGAAGTGGCTCAGATCCGTGGGAAACGAAACTGGAGTGGTAAAGTGACGCTTCCTGCACGCTAAATCGGTGTGTAACTAGGGGTTTTATAGACGGGAGTAGAAAAAGTAATAAATAACTGTGAAAATCTGAACATTTTTCGTTCTAATTTAATTGTGCATATTATTATGAATTTTTATTTTCATCAAATTTCAACTAACGTAATTCAAATATATGTTTATAGCGAAAAAGTCTTAGTTTTGTCTGAAATACATTACTATCTGTAATGTATTAATGTAATTAATTGATCTTTATTAAATAAAAATTTAAAAAAATATATATTCTTTATTACCACCAAAATCACTGACTGGATGAAACTTTAAAATCAACTGGCCCGTGCTTCATAGTTAGCACTTTCTGCATTTTTGCCATGTCCCTCAACCCTGGATGTCACACGTTCAATTATATTCCATCGATTCCATAACACCCTGTATATACAGTGTGATATGCAGTATGATAATTCTGCACTTTGAGTTTGTAACATTTTTGCACAAAACATGAACTTTGTGATTGCCTAAGATCCAAGTTACTTTTTCAAACATTTCTCGAAAATGAGGAAAAATGGGCGCGATTGATTTGATTTGATGATGATAGCTTTGTTTATTAAAGAAAATTCGTTTACAAAGTCATACTTTGGTATTTGGGAATAACTTTTAATTCTAAAAACTGTTCTTAGTTAAGGATATTTTGCTCATGTGCAGTCTCTATATTTTAGGGCATAGCCTGTATACATTTTGTCCATATAACAATAAGCAATATTCCCAAACTACATTAAATTGCTATTCGCTGGCAACAAACAGGCTTTGTTGATTACAAACTGACCTTTGGTAAGGTAGCCGGCGGACACGCTGTATAATTACTACGTGGGGGCGGCACGTGAGTGCGACGGGTAATTTCCGAGAAAAGTCGTGTGGCAGCTTCTCGGGTTTCCTGCGAAGCATACACAGTGACCCCGAAAAGAACCATTTTTCCGTCTGCGTTAAAGGACAAATTGTTATCGAACCACCGTGTATAAACAATGGTGGCGGAATTTGCGGTAATTTTTATAAAAATGCGTGATCGCGAGCCTCCGGTTGGCGATGCAGTCGCGACGGTCGAATCAGTACAAGTCGTAGTCTTTAAGGTTGTTGTTGTTATTAGTTAAGTTAAAGTAACCATGTTCGCGTCTTGCAATACCGCTGCGGCAACTATAGTTTTAAGTGTTTATTTATTTGTACCGGAAGGTAAGCGGCTTCTTGCACCTCAATTTTAAAATGTCTTTTTTTCACATAAAAATTAACAATTAATATAAACATTGTTTATTTTTGTTATCATTTGTGTTAATTAAATAGCTAATAATATACTTATAATAACTTATGGGTGTAAGCGTGAGAAATGGAGATGTCTGAAGTACTTAATAAAATACAATATACTAATTATATTATTTTTTGTATTTTCTAAAAGTAATTTTTTGTACAATTGTAGTGTATTTAGGGTTAATTTAAGTAACATTGCATTTTTTTGAAACATATGTAATTTTGCAAGTTAAATTGTATACTCACAGTTTTTTATAATAAATTTGGGAGAGGAAATTTTCATCTGCAATCGCTAGACTTGCGATGGAAAAATGAGCATCCCGTCTAAGAGGCTCGCAAGATTCAGCTGTCTCTTGGACACGATATTTATTGTCCTATATTTTTTATATTTTTAATGATCTTTCGTGAACACGAACAAATTAAAAAAAAACTGATAATTTTATCTGTCAAATTTTTTGCAAATATAAATGGCGATATATGAAACTGGTATTTTAGGTTAACTTTTTGCTTATCTTTATCAAAAATTCCGTTTATCCCAATAGAAGTGGAATTTTATATAATTTTAAGAGGCTCTTGGTATGAATCACACCCTTATATTACTTTGTGATATACTTTTTAAATTATCAACCACCTAGCCTTTTAATTTAGGAAACAATTTTCTTTTAAGACGTAATTTAATTATCAGTTCAAAATGACCCGTTTGGGATCATAATTTAAAAGTTTTCAATACTATGAAGCTAACATATTCCTCAATTACGATTCACATATCGCGACATACGTCGTCAAAGATAAAAAATTCATAATTCAATTATTTTGTCGCTTTTAAAGGCTAGAGTCGGTTATTAATAATAATATCATTTCTTACGTTGAAAACTATAAATAATACTCTTATTTTTAGCTTTTACTTGAGTGATGTGTGTTTTGACACAACGACCTCAACATTTCGCGATCACAGCGGCACTAATGACTTTGGAAAGAAATTTACACCGAACTTAAATCAAATAACGACCATAGAAACGATTTATTTGGTTTGGACGTTTTTTTAATACAAAAGTAAAATAAACGTGTATTTAAAAGGTGGAGCCCCAAGTACGCTGGAATAAAAGCAAATAATTTTATTTTTGCATTTATAACACGAAATATTTTCGAAACGAGTTGATACTAGAAATCATTTGGGTATCATAAGTTTTAAATTTTCATTAAATCGAAAAAAGATGCTACTAATTGTCCGACGACTCAAATGCACTGCGTATTTTTTTTTAATCTTACCTTCGCCTCAAGCATCTTGGAATTTTCGCAAGGATAACCGCTGATATACGCGAATGAAAGAAAACTTGACTTTCATCTTATTATAGACTAAATAGATATCGCCCAAGCTCGAAATGTTATTATTTGACGCAAACCTCTTTTCCATTTTCACAAACTCGGCTTTATTTTGATTCAGACCACATCATTTAACGTTTGTTGTTGATTTTGAGTGATGTTCGATTGCAAATTTATTTACCGATATTATTGTTGTTGGAAAATTGCGAAATTTATAATTGACTGCTTGCCGCCTTTTTCTTAAGAAAATTAGGGATTTTAAAACACGGCTAGTCGATAATAAAAGAAAACATCCGCAGGAATTTCCGTAAGATCTGAATCGGAGATAAACTAAATCTGGGGCATTCCAAACGAAATATTCATATAACGTGATATGTGGGTATCTGTTGACAATTTATCTAATTACTCAAACGTCAAACTTGATGATTGCATGGGTTGTTGATATAGATTATACAAAAAAGGGTTATTTTTTACAGTTTCTTTTTTATTATTGACCACCACGGCCAGGAACACATCGTTCTGGTTTCCATCTACGAAACTTCTTCTAAATTGGGAATAATGATTTATATGAACCACATTCCTTACAGTGTATCCCATTTTTTGTTGTTTTACGGCGTATCTCCTTTATTAATTAATAAAGCTTGCGCTGCTTTTTTATTAAGTGCACGTATATCATTTTGACGTTTTTCATGAGTAGGTCATGGAAAAGAGGTGTCGTTTTTCTAATTACTTTAAATGTTTAAAATATTTATTTTGACAAGTAACTAATTTTCTATTCATCAAAAAAATTAAAGATATAATGCGTGCTTATGCTATCGAATCCTACGTAAACAACCATATCGATTATATAACCGACCTACAAAGTGTGTTTAAAAATGTAAAATTTTCAAAATTACACTATATCTAAAAATCAAAGAATGCTGACATTTCTCTTTGTGCCACCTTTCATTTCATGAAAAATGTGCCTTGAGTTACGAAAGCCTAGCTAGCTTTATTAATACGGGAGATTCGCGGTAAAACCATCGAAAATAGGACAGACTGTATACATACGTATTTTCGCAAATTTATTCTTGTATTGAGAATAATCAACGACAGAGTATAATTATTTGATTGTATCTATTCAAACGAAATAATTAAAGTAATCTACTTGAATTGCCACTATGACCACCACTACTTACGTAAAACGTAACGGACTGGGTGACAAAACAAAAACTACGATCAATACTTTATTTTTTATACGTTTGCATAGGTTCACCACTATGCTCTATGCTCATTTTTTGAGTTAACAAGAATTTCACTATTTGCATTTTTTTTTTGGTACTTCGAAAGAGACTTTGATCTCAGATTTTGCTAACCTAGCTTTTTTCTCCTTTTTTATTTCTGTAGAGGTACAATTGGGATTCTTCGCGTACAGAGTGTATCTCAATGATATCCGATTTACTGAAAAAAGTTAAATATAAAGTGGTTTTATAGCATATTCAATTATTTAGTTCCCCTACAAAATTATACAGGATGTTGTTCTATAAATACAACAATTTTAAAAATGTTTATTACAGCGAATATTATTTAAAGGATGGGTACAGGATATTTTATACAAGTTCCCCTTACCTTTCATAAAAAAAAGTAGACATATTGAGAATAATCGATTCTTAGGTGATTTCAGTATCCCGATTGGATTATTTTCTTATTTATACAAAAAAAATACTATTTTACCCGTGTGATGCGTTCAAACTCCCCTAAATATATTGCGAGTGTACCTAACCATATTTTTTTTCTTAGCAACGTCTCTATCGTGCTACGAATGCACAGAATCGGACGGGCAGCATTGTAAAGATCCATTCGAGGCATCTCGGGTGACAGTCACCGACTGCGACAGGTCCATATACACGGTGGACCAAATGCGGATGACGACCAAGCATTTCGCATGCCTTTTACTCGTCGAAAGCGGTAAGAATCCGACCCGTTACTTTGGTGAATTTTGGTATTTCACCGGTTGCACGAGCGAGTGAATCACCAGAAGAAACGCTTTTCAACTAGGTGGTGACTCACTCGAGCTGTGTGAATCCCGCGAACTTGTATCTGCACGCGATTTGCATAAAGAATTCGTAAGTCCGGTCGAATTATTCATGTTGAAGGTATGGTTCAACAGCATTTCACAAAAAAAATTACCAAATGCTATTAATAAACGTCTTTTAGAATTCAATGCCAAAGCAATTTTTTGTATTTATTTTGTATACATCTTATACGACCTATTTATAATTTATAATGCGTTTTATAAGTTTAATCAAAGTCAAACCAATGTGACACATTTTTTAAAATTCCTATTTGAAAAGTTAACTTTTATATTTTCGAAACAATTTTCTTAATAATATATATATAATTAATAATAATATGTCTATGGGAAACTATAATTCAAAGATGAAAATCTTTATTTTAAATGTTTTTTAAGAAATCAATCGATAAGATTATTTCCCCATTGAAATTATTTCATATAATTTTCTTCATATAATTCAAGTCTACCGGATTTAAATGCTTTTAAAATTAATGAAAATTTTGAAGTACATCGTATGGCTCCGTTAACTACTTGGGAACCTTACGATGGAATCTACAAATACAGCAACCTAATAAGGGAAGCGATATATTAAAATTCCTAGAGCTAAAAAGCCTTTAATATGCATATGGCTTTTAATTTTAAAATGTATTTGTGCTCATATATGTTTAAACAAAAGTAAACACTTGATAGATATTTTATTTTGATTTTACATAATTTTCTAAGCGAGGAATATTGTTGCAATACACTAGCGGACCTCTCTGAGGAAAATACTAACATAACTCTTCGATCCCGGTTAAAGCTTGATGTGACGCCAGGTGCGAGTAAATGCTTGTCAGGTGCAAATCCCTAATTAAATCATTAAATTACGCCAATATAAGGGTGGTATACATTTTTCACCAAAGAAGATATAGTTTGCCTTTGTTTTACTACAACATAACGACCACAGATATAACAAAAGTTACTTGGATTGTTAAAAAAATATTTTCGTTCCATATTTGTACGTTCTAGAACACTAGAAATACGCAACGACGAAGACAACAGCCGCGAACATAATAGCACGATGACCAATACAACCAAACTGCGGTTACAACGCTGTATTGACGCTTCTGCGCCTCTGTTGCTTTGCAGAGAAATCTAATATTATCCAGTGTTGCCAAATCACATTTAATTTCACAAAAATCAATTTATTCAAAAATCATGCTTAACGTGGAACAAAAATATACAAATAAGCAAACAAACAGCTTTAAAACATCAAAATCACTGTAGACCTGTGTAATGTTTATATAAAAAATTAAATAGCTGTTTGAATGAATAGTATATATTTTATATGAATATTATTATTATGTAAAACGATCAAAAATCTAGTTGGTTTTAGCAAAAAATTGATTATCTTACTAACAAACCAAACTGACAGCACGAAATTTTTATCAAACCAATCATCATATCAAAAGGTTAAAATAATTAAAATTAAAATATTTATTCAAATAAGTAAAATAAGTGTATATGATTGATTCCAAGATTCACATATTTATACAAGTCGTTTCACACCTTTATTAGTTACGTACGTATTATTTGTAATTGTTGACGTCCTGTGTGAAGTAAGGTCGATGTTAATATTTGATTTGCCTATTGCAACTGATACGTATCTTACATTTTACTTGGAAATGGCATTTTTGTTATTGAGACTAACAGGCAACACTTCGGCACATAAGTAGTTGTTATCAAAAATAAATTAGGTTGGAAGTATTTTAAAATCTGATTTTTTTTAAATTTTGTATTCCAATAAATAATTTTTCAACTAATTAGTTGATAATTTGGGCAGGTTATTACATAATAATTAAGATTTTAAAATTTTATTCAATTGTTTTTAAAAATAAATTCTCTTGGACCTTATAAAACTGTGTGAGTGCGTTAGTTAAAATTCAGTTGATTAATTACTACATTAATTTATAAATTAGTTCATTATAACAGAAGTTAAATTGTTAGCAACATATAATAAATAAACTATGTGCAAATAGACAATAATTCTGAAATTATATTTTATGTTATTGACCAAAAATTTTCGAAAAATTGGGTGCACCGACAGCTTATTTTCCGTTGCAGACATAACCTCGAATTTGAAAACGTTTACAAGACGATGCAGCATCAGCAACTCGAACGACACGTGCGCCAACATCGAGGCAAAAAACAAAATGGCGGGCAACGTGGCGACCACGTGTTTCCAGTGCGAGCGGGACCTGTGCAACTCGTCGGGGGGTTTCGGACCCAGTGCGCTCCACCTTGCCGCTTTCCTTCTGTTTATTTATTGTTATTTTTAACCATTTTCGTGACTATTTTGATAAATTATTTATTAATAAAGTATTCTAAAAGTTGATCCGATGCCCTTGAACTATATTTCAATTTTGATTATTTCTTTTTCGCCCGCCGATGAAAGGAACGGCACTCGGTGTTTTTTCAGCGTTAATAGCGAAGCAATTTGCCATTGAATATTTCTAGCTCATAGAAAAATCTAAATCGAAAATATTAAAATTCCATTAGCGAACAAAATTGGTGGTTTTATATTTTTTTCTGTGCGCTTTGGCTTTAAAGTAACTGCTAAATCATGAGGCGAAAATACTGTCGCAGGCGGCGACAGACTCGAAACAAATTGGAAATTTGTGGTTTCACAGAGTGTACAAAAGCGAACGTATTTATTCATTTTTCCTTCTTTGTTTCAAAACTCTGGAAGAAACGTTAAAAGAAATATGTTTTTGACTTCTAGTCGTGACTCTTCGGTCTAGAAAAAAATTGATTGACCTCGCAACTAAAAGGTTCATTATTAGATAAGGAATTTTTATTATGAGATCTTAGCTTTTATAGCATTTTTTATAGTTGCAAATAATAATGATATTTACCAAAACATTCTAACCAAACAACCAAACTTCTTTTAAAAACAACTAAGGCTACTTTCTTAAGTTGCGAGGGAGTTTAGTATTACTTGCAAACCTTATAAAGTATTGTTAAGTTAAATAACTTATTAACTTATTCCTGAAACTTGAAGCTATATTTCTTTAATACTATTTGTTGGTGTTCAACTTGGCTATTGCCGCTGAATGCTCAAAAGTGCTCTGTTATATCAATGGAAACTTTGTGTCAAGTGTCGATTCTCAGATTCTCTAGGTGTTACAGTAACTTAAGATCTTGCGTGGTCTGTACATGTATCAAATATCGCAAAGAAAGCAAACTGCGGGTTATTTAAAAAAAAAGACTTTTAAAAATCCTAGTCCTCGCATCGCTTGCAGACTTTTCACTCTTTTTCAGTCTGGAACCCATGCCTATTGCGTGACTGTGATGTTCTGGAAAGAGTGCAAGGAGCCGCTACGCACTGGTCACCTTACAATGACCGTCTCAAAATACCGTCTGCCAACATTAAGCCAGCGTCGGCTGCGGGGTAATCTCATTCAAATGTATAGGTTTGCGTGCCCCTTGTGGCTGTGATAAACACACGGTGTTGTCGAAACAATTGTCATGTCAAAATATATAATTTCGTGAAAATCTGAGCTTTTTACTCTTATTTATTTTCAAATATTATTTTGCAGATAATAATAAAACGAATGGATACTTATTAAATGGTTCAAGGTTCGTAACATTGCTTGTAGAACAAGAGCTGCAGACTGTACTTGTGTATACTGTCCAAACAATCGACTAATGTTAATTGCGGTCCGTCAACTAATTACTTCTTATTGAAAAATATTCTGCTTTTTAATTTCATAAAAGAACTTTATAAAAGAAAGAATGTTAGTTGGGCTATTCATAAGAGATGCTTATACTGATACTAATACTACTTACCATACTATTACTTTCCCTTTCAAATGTCGTATAAATAAAAAAAAAACGTAAAACATAATTGTCACTAGGATATGAATTAACAAAAAATATCGGATAACATATTTGGGTCAATGATCGATATCTTATCCGGGATCTACGATAAACGAATATATCGTTGTTAATGAAATGTCATGTATAATGTGTAGTAATTAATATTTTCCGAGTTATTTAGTATTTATAGAATAATTAACGATTACTACGCCTGATCGAAATTGTGCGCAACCAGCGATACACCACCGCTCTCCAAAATTCGTTTCGCATTAGTTGGCACCACTATCGATATAGTGTCCCAGTTAAACTATTGTTTCATCTACGTTTCTTTTGACATGTTCAAGATACTGAATAAACACTGAAACGCTTGTTTTTTATTTACCGCACCTAACCTCTATCGCAATTTAATTTTGTCTAATCCTTCCTTTGCAATTACTTAATGCTCATCGACTTGTACGGTGTGTGTTTTCTTTAATGATATTATAGGGTAGGTATGAAAAGAAATGAAATAAGTGTCTAGATTGGGTACTTCTTAAAACATGCCAGTTTTTATTAACTATCACTCGGTTATCTATTGTTACCTGTTTATTTAGTTATTTATAGAAACAAAAATTTAAATACGCGATCTTTTACGTGGAATCCAATGGCGTACTAAAAAAATTCAATGTTTTAGTTTTCGTGTGGTATTAAAACTAATATTTTCTTAAATTAGACACCCTGTACCTTATCATCTCAAAACATTGCATTTTTTTGTGCGGTAGTAACAATATATAATACTTAATATTTTGCTTCTTGCTAAATTGCTTAAATACTTATTGAATAATTAGTATATTAAAGACCTAGTTAATTAATTATCATATTTCAACATTAATTAGCACATAAACTGTATTCAAACAAAAAAATAAGTACGAGGGTTCTAATGTAACATATCGCTCTGGCGACTGTCAGATGACGATTTATGTTAGACCAATATCGATTGCTCTGCCGATTAAAAATTCCTTCGCAAGATGAATACGCTTCGTCAGTCCATACTAGATTTTGAAAAAAATGGGATTCCGATTAATTTGTCGTAAATATGACTTACAAATTACCCAGGATGTAAGTTGCGAATCTTTCTTATAATATTGCGTTTATACTTTTGTTAAAACTGTTGCCTTGCTTGCACTGGATTCTACGTATTCATAAAAAGTTTGCCCTTAAAGTTTTTTTTATATCTAGAAATACCCGAGTGATAAGAAATAATATAAACTGGCATGTTCCGCTAAAATAAAGAACGGGAGATATATCTCAGTTTTTTTTTGTAACTTTTACCTTAAGCTTATGTCCTGTAATATCAAGGGAAAAAAACGCACTGTAAATACAGTCTTTCCGTAGTCATGGGACAAGCTGTCCGAGAATTTATTGAGTGAACTTTCTGAATTGTGTGGTTATTAATGTTTATCTCCCAAATACGTCTTCTGTCTTTAATATTTTAGAGAGCTTAATAGATTACCTATGAACGTAACTAGTGTTTTCCAAACAATCTTCTTGATACAATCATCGCGCAACGGCTTGTGTTGCCATACAGGCGTCGCAATTTTACAATTGGTCGATATATCTGGTTGCCTAGCCGCGTCGTCGGGGATGGGTGACGATGACATTCCGGGAGAAGAACGATACAAATGTTAATTAAACCGACGAATTATCGAAAACCTGTTCAGCGCGAGGGTGGTCGATAATAAAAATATGGCGCCGGCGTAATAAAAACTGGTCTTCGTATATATGGACCGATAATATTTGTCTATTTCGCTAGAAAAATAAACAGCGACGCGTTATGGCTGAACGAGGCCGGAAATTGTTGAGTACTGTACCCCGGTTTGTTGACACTGGATATTAAAAATATGTAACGGCGAACACCTGAGTGTTTGTACGGTTTTAACGTAAACTTTTACCGGATAATTTTGATCGAACTCTTTCGACGCGAACTGTTGTATTTGACCGGACGGGTCAGGCAGATATTAAATTATACCTGTATTATAGCGTAAATTTTTTTACTTGATTCAAACGTTTTAGCTACATATTCTTCAAATTGTTTTAGTTTCGAACTACAAGGAACACTATTTTATACAGATTTTAGGAAACAGTGTAATATTAAAATGGTATGGCCTGTTCATAGATATAAGAAAGTGACCAATTGCTTTTGAATAGGATTGTCCAAGGGTTGTGATTAACATACAATGCAACAAGATTTCGTGTGTAATACAGCGTGTGTTGAATCGTGTGCGAATTATGCAAAATATGTGCGAGTCTAGTGTATCTCAGGAGATGCTCCCGCCTAAATGTAGAAAACACTATTCTATTGAGACTAAAGAAGTTATAAACAATGTTTATTTGACTCTCATTGAACGTGGTGCCAGCAAGCAAGAAGAAACGACCACATTGACGAAAATTCCATGATCAATTGTGAATAATCCCATTTTTAGCGAGGAAAAAAAGAAGCAATGCTGACATTTCTCGAGTGTAGATGAAAGTGATCAAGATATAATACGGCATAAAATTTACGAGTTATACGAGGAACAATTAGGAGGCTTGAAAAAGATGAAACCGGTGTTAAATGTGGCAAAACTACCGTATGGACGTGTATTCAACACATGGACAAAATGGACTTTCTCTGTCTGCGAAAAATATTAAAGATTCTTCTCTGCATTACCATGAAGACACCACCGCTGATTTATTTGAAAGTTAGTTTAAAAACAAACTAGTTACAAACATTCCTCCTAATAACAGTTGAGTAAAACCCCTTCCTCATGTGACACAAAAGCAACAATCCAAAACTACATGTGTAATAACGACATTTATTTTCATGAAGATTATACCAAAAAGCAATTAATTGAGGTTCTAAAAAGCTTGAACCTACAAAAGGAATACAGTTTTAAGGCTTCCACCTTACGCCACCACTGTATATTTAATCCCATTGAACATGTTTGGCACCAGCTGAAATCTGCCATTCGTCGTAACCATGTTTTTCCCCGTGTTAACTGCAATGTCCTCAAACTTATAGAAACCGAAGTTTCTTAACATCCCTGCACAAAGTTGGGCAAATTCTGCTAAACATATAGAAAAAGCAGAACAATCGTATATCCATATTGCGAATGATATAGAACAAATAATAGTTAGAACAGGCGATGATAGCGTAATATATCTGGTGCATTCTTTATTAGCCCTATGGGCATGTCTCCGGGTCCAGCGGCTTTTTATTTTTTGATTCCTTTAGGGCTCTTTTAATTTCTGTTATTGTGATTTTGTGTACATGATCGTCTATGTTTATGTCTATACCGTGTATTTGGAATTCTGGCCTATTTTCAGTTAGTAGTATTTTCGCCATGTTTCTACCCCAATTACGTTTAATTTACTAGTCTCATTTGTACTTTTCCTTTATTATTTCCATGCTTCCGATACTCTTGCGCCGCCCATGAATCTATCTACTAAGAATTTTCAAATAGCAAAAAAAATCCAAAATATTTTTTTGGCGTCGTTACTTTAGCTAAAGCAAATTTCCTTATTTATTTATTATTTCGCTACTACATTATTTCTAATTACATGTCACAACAAATTCATGCCTTTCGTCTTCTACCTTAAACCAAATATAAACTAATTACTTCATTAATTAGGACAATACGTATAATTGATGATACTGAGTATCAAGACAAAAGACAATCAATAAGCCAAATGCTGAGGCATTCCCGGGGGAAATGTATAATGCCATTATTAATAATATTCGTATTAGAGGCAAGAAGCATATCCGTGTAGCATGTTAGGCCTCCGATCATTTTATATGAAAGCCATCAACTAGATCGATAACCACGAAATCTAAGAGTCGATTAATATACATCGTGTCCAAAGTAAAGCCACCTTAATAAGAGATAATTGGACCAAAAAGAGTTTTCTTAAACGTGATCACTCGCAGAAGATCTCTTACAATGGTAATCCATTTATACGATGCTTGGAATGTACGATGTACGATGTTCCATATTTGCATTTTCTTTATTATTTTCTTGTTTTATACATTAAATTAAGGTAAGTTTTATAGTAAAATAAAATGCTTGAGGTGGTTTTAGGATTTCTTTCCCCACAAGTCCATTCGGTGTGTGTACTGGATGACAAAATATATAGTTACCCCTTTCTATCTTCTACATCTTTAACAATGTTGATTTGATTTTTTATATAGTAAGGAGTTATAGTAGTTGAAACCGTTTGCAGTTTAACCGGAAGTGATTTAAAAGTTGTAATTTTATAGAAGCCCCCAATTCTGTTATATTTTATTATATTCGAAATCTGTGTAAAATGATGTTAACTGCAAAATGGTCGCCAAATGACTAACCCTTAATTCGCTACTAAATAATTTTCAATGGCTATGGAAGCAGTAAAATGAAAAATGTCCCTTGTGTTCCACAAAAACAGACTATTCTTATACTATAGACTATAGACAATTCAATTCCAAAAGTAAAATACGGTTTTTGGAGTTATTCTGAATAGGAAACCCCCCCACTCTCTATGAAATATTTGATATACTTAGAAATGAACGAAGAAACGAAAATTTTAAGTAGATTTCGAATATTAAAACGGAATTGGGAATTTTTATTTAAAATTATTATATTTTACTATAACTGTTTATAAACAACAAACGAGAACCAACCACCTGTAAAAGTTTCATTGTATATTTATATAATTTTAAGATATAGATAAAACACATTTTTAGCATAACTCTGTTTTTTATTAATTTGATCGAGACTATTCTACAAATATAACACTAGTTGGTTGACATAGTGCATAAAAGAATAAAACCTCAGAAAAATAACATCACTCCAAAAAACCCAAACAAAAACTGCATCTCGGGAGTCCCGATTGCCCAAATTCGCATAAAAAAAGCACTCCGAACTCTTCTCGGCGGCGTCTTTGCTTCAGAATTCTCTTTTCTTCGTGTCGTCCGAGTGTGGAGGCCCGTTTCGCGTGGGCGTCTCGGGGCGCCGTCACGTGACAGGGCGGCCACGAAGAGACGCGCGCTGCTCGATCACCGACCTACGTCTCGCGCCGTCGCGACGCACGCCTCATTTTTATACGCCTAGTCCGGTCGTATCGGGACCATATAGATACTAGAGATGCCGATAATACAGGAATTTATGAAGAAACTATAAAAAAATTGAGAAAGTGCATTTAACATGCAAATGGGCGAGATTTAAAACCATGCTTTTAACCAATGACTGCATTCAACGACCAACATGGCCGCTGACAGATCATCGATGAGTTTAGTGTGTTGAAATCTCAATTTAGGTGCATGCGCGGAAAATCATTGGTTGTCATAGGGCCATTATTCAATAGCCAATAGAGCTGTATAACCGAAATTTTCAAGTACCTGAGTTAAACACGGTCATATAAAAATAAAACACTCACACCAACATCTAGTTTCTTCATTTGCCCAATATGGTTTCTTTTCTCTTACATACAGACTTAATAAAACTAAATATTGCTTAACTGTATTTAAGTTTTTTGAAGAGTTTTCAACAGGAAGGAAACACCCATATGGTGACGAAAAAAAGTATATGAGTGTCAGCGTAAGTAAGTATAGTTAACATGTATGTGTTATGTTTTATTATTATTATATCTTATTACTTATGAACTCAGTTAGAAAAGGCAGTGTAAAAACTGGAGGTTGTATTGATATCATGGGACATGTTTTTCGTGAATAAGGTGGTTTTTAACACTTCACTAGAGGGTAAATATTTTTTCAATAGATAATGCTATTACAGAATATACATTTAATGTTTTTAGGAGATTCACCGAAAATTCAAACTGATCAATTGGAGAGAAGAAACGTCGTAATGAGAAGAGACACTTAGCATCTCTCATTAGGGCATTTAAAATTGAAAGGAAAGATGCAGATGGTTCCGTTGCATTTAATGAAAAGCCCAGTGAAAAGTGTTACACAGAGGTAATTTTAATTTTGGATTTGTTACAGATTATGTTGCAAGAAATCAAAAGCTTCGCTAGCCATTTGGATGAACGAATCATTTAGTAAGTATGTAGATCTTTTTAGGAATTTTAAAACAGCTACAGAACAATGAAGAAAATTCTAATAACAAGCGTATTTTCCAAATAAAAAACAGAACATGTTATTACTTTTTGGTTTCTTACCTTTATAAATTTTTATAAAAGTAACTGTATATTTTACTAACTTTTGATATTTATAGAGCACTATAGAAATAAAACATAAAACATAATATATATAATATTATGTATTTACAGAGCTACAAAAACATGAATAATAAATGGATTTTATAATAAATTAATCTGTATTCATCAGAAATAAGCAAACTAAACGATCAAAATGCATATATGTTAAAAATGTATCTATGCAATCAATTGCGGCGCCATCTCTAGTCAACCGGTTAAACCTCATAGTTAACTGGTGCAATTATAGATAGCAGAGTTTAATTTCACTCACATGCAAGCTGTACTTTAAACGACCAGCTAGAATTATTAAACCGTCGACAAGGCAAACACCAAACTCGGACGGTCCATAGCGATTCGTTCGCTGTAATTTTTCATGCACACGACCCTATCTAACAACCCGTCGAGTCTGATCGGCGCCGTGCGTCGTAACTCGACTCGCGCGTGTCGTACAAACCGCCCCAGCAGTCGCCGGAATACCGTACGTCGCGGCCAAACTCGCACAACTGTGCCACAACAATTCTCAGTTCGATCACGGCAGCGGAAAGAGTATATTCGTGGCGGTCCCTGCCATTGCGATTTGCCGGGTGAAAATGATGCTGTTTCTCACAGAAAAACTCGCGGAATAAAAACGTCGACGTGCTATCCGCGACCGATCGGTTATCTCTGATCATTGTTTCTGCCCGCGATGGGTCGTTCAAGTTTGCGGTCACGGCCTTTGTGATTTTTTTCGTCCGATTCGATAAACAAACATTTTGTGATTTTTGTGATTGCGTGGTGGTTTTCGCTTTTGTGCGTTTCGTTTGTCCGAGGATGTTCGCGTGACCTGGCGATTAGGTAAGCAAGAATTGTTTCTTTTTCGCGATCTGTGCTATCGATTATCGCGAACAACCTGTTTTGTTTCAGGTTAAGCGACGCGATGTGTCAATTTGTAAACAAATGCGCTCGGATATTGTTTAGTCACCGGTTTGGTTCGCGCGTTTTGTAAATATAAAGAGTGACGATTGATACGTGGACTTTTTATTTAGTTTTCCCAATACTAAATACCACGGTAACGACCTATTGCGACACGGAATCGCTCGGAACGCAATAACAAAGAAATGCTGACGCATCGGAACCGGCGTCCGCGAAGGAACGCGTTTATGTACAGGTCGCCTTCCGAAAAACAACGTTCGGCGCTGCGAAAGTAATTTCAATAATTTTCCATTCAATTTTCCCTCGTTCCGGGACAAACAAACAAAAACCGAATTGCCGGAGCCGGCACGGGATTGGAATGCAAATTCGAAAAACTCTGTTAACGAAGAATCCCCGAGTTGAGCACGTTAAAGGACCTGTTAAATTTCATCGGCAAATTGAGCTCAGCTACCTTCGGTGGCAATGTTCCGTTTTTGCTTCTTCCGTCACTGTCTTTTGTTTTCGTGCTAACGCTTTTCCGTCTCTCTCTCTCTCCCGTCTCCGCACCCGCGGGGTTGCCAATTTGGACCGCAGATTACATGTACGATAAGAAAATTAAGTCAGGACACACTTTGTGTGGTTTTTGACATTTTTTCTCGTGATACAAAATGACTTTGCAATGCGAAGTGACAATCTATATATCTATCTCGAGAAAAAGTAAAAATGGGTAGTGAAATTTGTCTATGTTACTACAATAGTTGCATCAGTAATGTAGCCGATATAGATTTTGTGAGTCAATTTTTATTTAGAGGGAAATGGGTAGTAATGGATATTCTTTTCTGTGTCAAACACGTTGATGTTAATGCCAGATTGGTTTCATAATGCTCTGCAGTTTGGATAGTTGTGTCATTCGGCAAAATGTTATGCAACAGGTATTATAAAGGACTTATTGTTTTGGTAAAACGAATAACATTCACTTCAGTGGTTCCTGAACCCGCGTCTAAGTACAGGAAATATTGGAAATCGCTCGCGACCGTCGGGAGGGAAGCTTAAGTGCTACTTTTTGCGCGTCTATTCAATGCATAATTAGGTATTTTAGAATGAGGATTTGAAAAAAATATTTTTTTATTAGCTTCGCTTTGAAAAGCATATTTCGACTTGTACGCAAAGTGCTATTGGCCGTTTAAAAGGGTTGTATAGCTCAAGGCATATTCTAACTCGAAATCTTAAAAAAACCTTATGCCATGCTCTTGTTCTCTCCGTCTTTAATCACTGTGATGTCATATATGGGCCTTGTTTGACAGCTAATTCGTCGCAACGTATTGAAAAAATTCAAAAATGCTGCTTCAATAATGGCATTATTGTTTTGGTTCGTCGTCTTATCAATGTGGCTTGTCGATTTACATATTCAATATGTCTGTTGTGAATGTTGTAAAACTGTAAATTACCAAACAACTATATAGTGAACCGTTGATTTTTGGCTTAAGGTTAAAATTAAATGTCCGAAGAAGGTCTTGAAGGCCGAAACGTCGCAAAAAATATAATGTTTCACAAGTAACGGAAACTTATTTTAATTTCACTAAAAAAGGACCAAAAAAACTCACAAACTAGAAATATATATATATATATATATATATATATATATATATATATATATATATATATATATATATATGCCTCTGAAACTGGACCAAAACCTTGTTTTGCTTATTGCTTTTGCAATTTTGATAATTCTTTTTTGCTGGATAGATATTACTAAAGAGAAGGTTCAGTGCATTTTTCAGACCTATCCGCCAAAAAAAAAAATCAAAATCGAAATCGAACCATAAACAAACATTAGAATAATTTAGAAATAAAAAATATATTATCTGCACTTATTTTTTACTCGCGTTTTTGCCTTTGATTTTGTTGTAAAAAAAATTGAAATTTCTCAAACTTCAAATAATCACAGATCACAGTTTACTGAAACGTACGTGTTTAGGTAAATTCGTATTTATTTTACGTCATATTCGTCAGCTATGTCCTGATAATTAATTTTTTTCAAGCGCTGCAGAAGATTTAGAAATTTTGAATATATGCGGATTTTGCTAATGGTTTTTAAAAAGCTTGATTGTTATAGTTATATATTTTTTTATAAATATTTAAAAAAAAAAGCATCCTGTGGGTGAATAAAGTATTTAGAGAGCGATAATGATCCATTCTCCTCTTTTTATTAAAGAGCAAGAGAATGATAAGAATCCCCATTACTACTACGTTTTTTTCTATTGTAAAAGCTGCCTTATTTTTCCATCACGGCATTTAGATCGAGTTCACTGGAACACGACGCCACCACAGTCTTCTTTTGTTTTACGCAAAGTCGAAAAGGCCAGGGTCATTCGCCCAAGTCACTACAATAAGATGTGGGTAGTTTTAGAACTCTTTAAACATAATTTGGAATGTATTTTTACTTCGTTCCGTTAAGTCGAAGCTACAACGTTGGGTTATATTGAAAAATGTACTGAATAGGAATATTCAATACATTCCTTACAAATCTACAATCTAAATCTCACAAACCTAAGCCTCGTATGGTTACTTATAGGGACCTAAAAAATATAAATATTGAGGAGTTCAATATTGACCTGTACAAGGTTCCGTGGCATAAAAATCTTTATAGCCCCGATATAAATCATAAGGTCAACTTAGTAACGCAAAATATTGGTGAAATGTTTAATAAGCGCGAGGCTCGGATAACAAAGAACGTAAAATTTTCTGCATTTCAGCTCTCGTCATCTCTAGATATTTTATCGGGGGTGCCGCAGGGCTAAGTATTATGACCATTATTACTTTTGATTTATATGACGGATCTGGGTGATGTGGTTGCATGTCACACGCTCAGTTTTTTGCTGATGATACACAATTGTATCATAGTTTTGAGGGTATATCTATCATAGTTGTGAATATGCAGGAAACAGCAGCTATGTGGAGAGGCATAATTTAGGCTTAAATCCATCAAAGTGTAATGTCATTATTTTTGCTGCCAAGAGAAAGAAAATCAACATCAAGTTCAGAATGGAACGATATGTGGACAGTAAACCTGTCTCGCGCATGTCTCCAAACAGCGTTATATGAGTTTGAGGTTGCTGTATTCAAATAAAGATGTATTGTCGTATGACATGAAAATACAGTTATGTATTGTATCGTTTGTCCTGTTGCAATATGTGTATTACCTCTTAGACACTGTGCAAATTCAAAATTTCTTTCTAACTTGCGCAAATTTGACAATAAATCTGGAGCATTGGAGAAATTAAATTGCTTAAAAATTAAAAATGTTTTCAAGCACAACTTTCTTTGAAACGTATTGAAAATTCCAGCATTCTTAAATATTTACATATAACATAGAATAAGGCCATTATATTAAAACTACCACGTCGACCAAGAAACCAAATTTTTCGAAAAGTTTAAGGCAAAACAAAAAAGTGCCCAAAGAAACATGGCGAAAAAGGACCAGCGATTACGCAAGGTGCATGAGTGGGCCCCGAGGCGCCCCACTTAAAATGCAAATTTTCGGTTAAAGGTGGGCCAGGTCGTCTTGCTCTCGCGAAGCGGCGTTGCCGAAGCTACGTAATTGAGGAACCGACGTCCATGAATGCCACGCGGTAATCGGAACCGGTGGGTACCCAGAAGAGGAGGAAAACGAACGGCTAGAATGTGCGTGTACGTACGTTTTCGCCAGGTGCAAGCGGTTTGTTTATTTTTAAACGTTTGAACCGGTGCGTTGTGAGGACGGCGACCATGATATTACAGCGCGTATTATCTATCGTATACATTATGGTGCGCTGTGGTATACTTCGTAGAAGGAAGTAAAAGTAAAGATATTTTTTAAGTATCTATTAGTAAAATTTTTATACAAACTAAGGTTAGGTTCAAAACTCGAATGCGTAGAAAGAAAAAAAAACAGTTTCCTGAGGTTTATAAATATAAATCTCAGGAAACTCTAGGAGAAAAGAGAATAAACACAAATGAAAATTAGGATTGGTGGACTGCAGAATTGGAAAAAGCGCATGGCTGGTGACGAACGACCAAGAAGACTAAAACGGAGATTCCAAGAAATTAAGGTCTGGAAGATTTCACGGTGGGAGAAGAGCAACAAAAAGTAAAGAGAGAAGAAATAAGGAAAGAACTGAAAGACATGAAGAAGGGAAAAGCCTAAGGACCGGCAGACAGAAAATTGTGTGGACATTATAGAGGCATCAGTGCAACTAACTCGCTGGGAAGGTTGTATGGCCTAATACTAAAGGAAGATTCTATGCCCTATGTAAAGCGGACGGCTCTAAACCTGTCTACGTACCTAGTTTTTATAAACCTCGAAAAAGTGTACGGGCATTATATGATATGCACAAAAATCATGGAAATACGGTTAAGAAATACTGTCTCAAAGCCCTTCAAAGTCATAGAGGTCTAAAGCAAAGGTGCTGTCTCTCACCTACGCTATTGAAAATATATATGAAGAATTAATTTTTCAAAGAAACTTGCACAGGCTATTTGTTACTTTTTACTGACGTTTCGCCAATCATTCCGTTGGTTTCTTCAGGGCTTAACTAAAACCTATTTTCCAGAAGATTTGTAAATAGTATATCAAGAATCACGTTCTAATTGGACACAGAAGTGGTAAGTGGTAACATTTTTCCAATTCGCAACGTATATCAACGGTCAAAGTAGTACAAAGTGTGAAAAAAATGAAAAACTGTCAACAACAAAAACTGCTGAAATTATTATTTCTAATAAATTTATTGATAAATGCGAATTATTTATCTTCAATGTTGACATTGGAAAACTCTCGAACGCTCTCGAAACGGGCGGGGCGCGCCGCTGGCGTCGAAAATTACAAACGCAAACTGAAATTTTTAAAATCCACCGGGCAAACACACTCGAAAAAAAAGAGTCCGCTTGACAACACATAAAAT